GGGATTTTGCAAGAGGAGGAAATAAGGAAGGACATAATGACATTGAAAGAAAACTTTTTGTGGAAAGGGAAGAATGCGGCAGGGGCTCAGTTAAAAAGATATAGTCAGCTGGGCGCCAGTGGCTCACGCCTGTAATCCTAGCTACTTAGGAGGCAGAAATCAGTAGAATTGCAGTTTGAGGCAAACAGATCTCAAAACCTATCTTTAAAATACCCAACACAAAACAGGATTGGTGGAGTAGCTCAAGCAGTAGAGCACCTACCTAGCAAATGTGAGGTCCTAAGTTCAAACCCCAGTACCAGAGAGAGAGAGAGAGAGAGAGAGAGCCAGGTACCAGTGGCTCACGCCTGTAATCCCAGCTACTCAGGAGGCAGAGATCAGGAGGATTAAAGTTTGAAGCCAGCCTGGGCAAATAGTTCGCAAGACCCTATCTAGAAAAAACCCTTCACAAAAAAAGGGATGGTGGAGTGGTTCAAGGTGACAGCCCTTAATTCAAACTGCAGCACTGCAAAAAAAAAAAAAAAAAAAAAAAAGAGAAAGAGAGAGATGCTCAGACTCTCAGACTGGAGGTGCAAGCTAGTGGGGAGAAGTAACTTACTTAGCTCATTCTAGACCCTGGGTTCCCCAAAGGGCCTGGGTTCCAGCCCTGAAGGAAAAAAAACGAAAAGAAAAAAAACGAGAGATACAGATTTCCCTTGGTATCCATGGCAGATTGATTCCAGGACCAGTTAGATACACATAGCAAAATCTGCAGTGCAGCAGACATAGGTAGGAGGACTGAGGTTTGAGGCCAGCTCAAAAGCACAAGATCCTATCAAGCAAATAAACAAAAGCAAAAAGGACTGAGGACATGAATCAAGTAGTAGGACACCTGCCAGCAAGCAAGGCCCTGAGTTCAAACCCCAGCACCACAAACACCCAGCACCATTTACAATCCCCAAGGCAACACAAGTGCTGAGTTCATAGTTGTTACACTGAATCACTTGGGAACTAGTGACAAGAACAAAATCCGTACATGTTCAGTATAGATAGATTTTGTCTGAATATTTTCTGTTCCCTGTTGCTTGACTATGTGCCCTGTGACCCTCCGTGTCGTTACAGAAGGGGACGAGTGGACTTCCAAATCAATTTCCCGATTTACCAAATAACCCACACAGACAGGCCTCGCAATGTGCGTTTCAGATCCATGAGGAAGGGTTCTTTGCACAAGCTGATCTTGTGCAATATTTGGAAACATTTATGCTGAAAAGGTATTCCATCACTTATCTGAAAATCCAAATTGAACTGGGCGTCCTCCTTTTTATCTGGCTACTGTCCTCCAAATAAAATTGTGGGATTAATGTGCATTAAAAGGTTGTGGGGTGGACTTCTTCAAAGTTGGAGGTAAATTGTCCCTCTTCCACCTTCCAACATGGCCCCACACTGAGGTCTGAAGTGTGGTTCAGGTCACACCTGCCAGACTCACAGGGGAATTTTTTTTGTTTGTTTGTTTTTTGATACTGGGACTTAACTCAGGGCCTCGAGCTTGCTAGGCAGGCACTCTGCCACTTGAGCCACTCTTGCCAACCTTTTTTTGTGATGGGTTTTTTTGAGATAGGGTCTCTCAAATTATTTTCTCCAGGCTGGCTTCGAACCTCAGTTCTCCTACTCTCTGCCTCCTAAGTAGCTAGGGTTACAGGCGTGAGCCACCAAGTCTGGCACTGGGAGATTTTAAGTATCTTTTTTTGTTGTTGATTTTGGAGACAGGATCTCACTGTGTCACCAGGCTGGCCTTGAACCTGGGCTCAAGCCATCCTCCTCTTGCCTCAGGCCTCCAGATTTAGCTGGGCAACAAGCACACGCCACCATGTCTGGCGTGGCATAAGCATTGTCTCTTTGCAGTCTCGGTCCTACTCTGGACAAGGAACTGCTGGAGGTGGTCCAGACGCTTTCTACATGCCAACACTCACGATATCTGGGCACAAAGGTTTTGGCCACCGTGCACGGAACCTACTACTTGTATTACTATCCTTTTTTAGTTGGCGTTTCAAACTTCAACCAACAGAACTAGGGCAATCCTAGCAGGAGCGTTCAAAAAACGTTCATCTGTGTTGGAGAGTGAATCCGAATTAAACCATAATCCTCCTGATCTCTGCATCCTGAGTAGATAGGATTACAGGTATGAACCCCCCAGTACCTGGTAAGATGGGGGTCTTGCTAATTTTTTTCCTGGGCTGGCCTCAAAGCTCCATTCTCCTGATCACTTCCCAAGTAGCTCTGAACATAGGTGTCAGCCACCTCACCTGGCTTCAATGGTGACTTCTTACATAACTATACAATTTCAAAACCAGAAACGTGTTATTGATGTTATCTACAGACCACATTAAAATTTCAACAGTATTAACCTGTATTTCTACTCGGATGTATGCGATCTTGTCCCATGCACAGGTTTGTGTAACTAGCACAACAATTATAAAACTGAAACACATTGATTTTTAAAAGGAAACATCAGTGACCCTACTGTGAATGGAAAGTAGATACAAGCTGCTGGAAGACAAGGGTGCTTAAAAATAAATACAATGTTAAGAAATAATGTTACTATATTCTAGTTGGATACTATTGCTACTGTTGCCTGCTGAAGGCTTTTTGTTGTAAGTGAGAGGGAGGGAGAGAGAGATTATTAATCAGCATAAATCAAAACCTGGCGACTCACACCTATAATCCTGGCTACTCATGAGGCAGAGATCAGGAGGATCATGCTTCAAATCCAGCCCCAGGCAAATAATAGTTCACAAGACCCTATCTCAAAAAAACCCTTCACACAAAAGTGCTAGTGGAGTGGCTCAAGGTGTAGGCCATGAGTTCAAATCTCAGTACCACAAAACAAAACAAACAAAAGCGTAAATCAAGCTTATAATTCCAGATACCAAGACTAGGGGAGATCTGAGGTCCAGGTCAGCCCCAGGCAAAGAGTGTGAGACCCCACCTAATAAATAACTAATGACAAAAATGGGCTGAACTGTGGCTCAAGTGGCAGAGTATCTGCCTAGAAAGCACAAGGCCCAATGCCACCAAAAAAAAAAAAAAAAAAAAAAAAAAAAAGGCATACATCATACTAGCTCTGAATGAGCCCCACTAATTTTACGATAACTCACGCCTGTAATCCCAGCCACTCGGGAGGCAGAGATCATTGTTCAAAGCCAGTCCAGGTAAATAGTCTGTGAGATTCTATCTCAAAAAAAACCCATCACAAAAAAGGACTGGTAGAGTGGCTCAAGTGGTAGAGCTCCTGCCTAGCAAGTGTGAGACCCTGAATTCAAACTCCCCCTACCAAAAAAAATTCAAAAGGGATATTACTGCCACGATTTTAAATGTAGTCCATGTGTCACCAAATTTATCTTCCCAGAGAAGCATGTTAACTGCTCATTAAATCTTCACAGGCACCCTAGGAAGGAGATACTAGTTTTACAAGTGGGGGAACCGGGCTCTGAGGGGTGCAGAAGCCTGCCTCTGTCTAGCATTCTCCAGTTGTCTGGCCTAGAGTAAACTGCTAAACTAGAAATTTCTGGTGTTCTCTTAGTAACCTGGAGATAAAACAGTTCCCGTGTGTTAGGGTCTTAAGCAAGTTAAATGATGGAACACAGGGCTGAGGATATAGATCAGTGATAGACAGCTGGACTAAATTCACAGTCGTGGGTTCAATCCCCAAAGTGAGCCACAGTGAGAAAACCCACCATTGCTCTGATTTGGGCTAAACTCTTTTTTTTTTTTTTTTTGGTGAGACTGGGGTTTGAACTCTGCCTTCACACTTGCAAAGCAGGCGCTGTACTGCTTGAGCCGTTCCTCCAGTCCATTTTTGCTCTGGTTACTATTTGCCCAGATTGGCCTCAAACCATGATCCTCCCAACCTCAGTTTTCCAAGTAGCTAGTAGCTAGAATTAAAGGAGTGAGGTACCAGCACCCAGCTCAGGCTAAACCCTTGACCTGCTGTATCACTGCATGTAACACAAATCTGTAGTACAAACATCCTCTTTGTATTAGGGCGAGCAAACTGAGGATCAGAACGATGAATTCACTTGCCCACGGTCACACAGTTTAGGAAATTGAGGAGTTCAGAATTTCAACCCAAGCCTGTCTGACTCAGGGCTTTCCTCAGGAAAGCCAGGACTGGGGACCCCAGATCTGAAAGTCCACGGTCTCCTTCCTTCACAGGTGGCCCCTGGTAGAAGACGGGATGCCCCAAAGATATGAAATCTTGACCAACTGAGAGCTGTGGTTTCAATCCAGCCCAACCATCCATTGCCCAGACAGGAGCACCGAGGTCCTCAAAGGACATTTCTCAAGAGACAAACGATGGATGGTGTTGCATAGCCAAGGGCGCCACAGGGGCTGAGCAGAGCCCAGTGATGTGGTGTCTGGTGGCTGTCTCTGACATGGGAAGCCATGCCCAGAGCTGTGAATGTGACGAGGCAGAAAGGAACACCTAATGATTTAGAGCCTGCATCTGGGCCGGGCGTGGCGTCACACACCTGCAATCTCAGCTGAGGTCGGCTTGGGCTGCATAGCAAGACCCTGTTTCCAAACACCAGGAAAAGTAAGGAAGCCTTGAATCCAGAGCCAGCCTGGTTGTCCCCATCAATTAGCTTGGCTCTGCCTGCTTCTATTTTCTCATCTGTAAAATGGGAAGAGTTGTGGAAGTCATCTGAATGGACTCCATATTTTTAGTATAAAAACAGTCACCCTCTCCCCATCTCCTCCAAGCCAGAGTGGACAGATAGACTGCCTCTTTCCTGCTCACCCCTGTTCCACTTAAACGCTGCCACCTCCACTGCTGGTGCCCAAGGCCACCACGGGGCAGCATCTGCCAGGCTGCCTGTCGCATTGGGGAGTGGCCAGGCAGGTTTTTCCTCTCAGCCTGCCTGCCTCAGGCCCCAGCTGTTCTCTCCCCGCCTCTCTGGGCCTGGCCCGGCCCTCCTGGGCTCACTTGCTCTACAACCTGTCTTGGCCTCCACCGCGAGCAGGTGTTGGACTCTGGAGAAGATGCCCAGCATCCTGGCTACCAGAGCTCTGAGGTGGACTGGTGTGAGAGCAACTTCCAGTACTCGGAGCTGGTAGCCGAGTTCTACAACACGGTGAGGGCACAGCAGGTGGTATGGGATGGAGGAATCTCATGAGACTTGGGTTCAAATCCCGGTTCCTTCCCATCCTCCCTTGGGAAATCTTGCTTGAGCAGTTTACCTATGTGGCTTGGTTTTCTCATTGGTCGGACAGGAGTGTCAGCTTGCATTCATGTATTTGTCTTTATTTGTCTCCAAGCTCTGTGGTAGATTTTGGAAACACACCTGGTGATGGTGATGTAATGGGGAGTGCACAGGCAGCTCTGAGGGGGCTCAGAGGAGGCCTCTAGCCAGGGACCGTGGATGCCAGAAGGCTTTGTGGAGGTTGTGTCTGCCTTGTTCTCAGCTGCACACCTAGCTCAGGGCAACCAACTCTATTCCTGGGCCTAACCTATTTTTAGCACTGGATATTTCACCCCTCCCAAGAAACCCTTCAGGTTTGGGCATAGCAAGATGGTTGGCACTGCTCACCCCTGCTCCTGCTGCATTGGAAGTGCTCAAAAGTCACAGGTGCATCAGTGACAATGGCGTTGAACCAAAGGCTGAAAGGCATAGGAAGATCTATGCAATTCTGTTGTCCTTGGCACTGGACACAGTGCTGAAGGAGGTCAGGCTAAGTGGGGATCTTTTTTTTTTTTTTTTTTGGCAACACTGGGGTTTGAACTCAGGGCCTCAACCTTGCTAGACAGGTGCTCTACCACTAGAACCACTCAGCCAGCCCTCTTAGCTTTAGGTATTTTTTTCACATAGGGTTTCACATTTTTTGCATGCACCAGCCTGGATTTAGATCCTCCTACCTATAGCTTCCCGTCTAGCTGGGATTAAAGGTGTGAACTACGACACCAAGCTACTTGTTGACATGAGGTCTCAGTAACTTTTTGTCCTAGGCTGGCCTCGAACTGCAGTCCTCCAGATCTTGGCCTCCCCAGTAGCTGAGATGACAGGCGCATGCTACTGTGCCAAATACCAGCCAGATGGAGCAGTTACCATGTGCCAGGCATTGTACTAACTTTCTTGGTTTTTTGGTGTGACTGGTGTTTGAACTCAGGGCTTCATACTTGCCAAGCAGTTGCTCCACTGCTTGAACCACACCTCCAGTCCACTTTGCTCTAGTTATTTGGAGATGGGGGTCTTCAGAACTAGCCTTGAATCTCAGTCCTCTTGATCTCAGCCTCCCAAGTAGCTGGGATTACAGGTGCGAGCCACTAGCACCTGGCTCATTATGCTAACATGTAACTGAATGATCTCATCTAATCTTCACCATAGCATTTGGGGAGTAGGGTTAATACAGAGTTCAGCCAACTTTCCACCTGAGGAAGCAGCAGGTACTCAGGGAGGCTAAAAGATATGCCCAGGGTCACCCTGCCAGGTACAGGCAAGATTTGAACTTGATAAATCCAAGAGACTTTTTCTTTTTTGGCTGGGGAAGAGCTAAGCTCCATGTCAGGATGCCTGGGGTTGCTGCGACTCCATTGGCTTCCCAGAGCTGGAGTCGGGGGGCTCGGAGGCCCTTGAGTCTCCTGGGGCTGTCTCCTCCTTAGGCAGAGACAACCTTTTGGGTCCTCAGTCGTCCCACCTGTATAATGGGAAGGGGAGGAGTGTGCAGTCATCAGAGGTTGAAAAGAGGCTTCTCCACATTCCTCAGAAGCCCCTGTGGTCCAGAACGTTCTCTACTCAGCCCACCTCCGTGGGGGCCCCACAAAAGGCCCGAGAAGGGGCTGACTCAGGTGTGGCCAGGGTGGGGCTGGCTGCACGCTCTCATGGAGATCCTCCCCCAGTCCTGAGCAATGTCCTGGCCTGGCTCTAGAGGTGGATTGGGCCTCGGTAGCCTCACAAAGGCTGTGGGTCAAAAGATTTTCAAGTCACCATGGATTAGCAAAGAGACTTGACATCATCGTAGCCCAAGATCTGAGCTTCCTGACGTTTACCCAACGCTTTGCAAGGCAGCATCCTCCTCTTGCTGGCATGAATCCAATGGGAGATGTTTGGTGTTTTGAGCCAGGGTCTTGATATGAAGCCCAGGTTGGCTTTGAACTCTCCATTCTCCTGCCTCAGCCTCCTGACTGCTGGGGATACAGGTGTGTGCGACCACATCTGACCCTCTTGGATCTTTACTCTCAAAAAGGCTTTGCCCAAACATGTCAGGGACAAGGACTAGAATTAGAGTAAGAGCAGGATGAGTTTCTCCAAGATCTCGACCCCCACAGTGCTGCCGAATAATAATCCTGTAGTCCATGGGTGGGGAGGCTGGCCCCAGAGGGGCATGCCTGTAATCCCAGCTCCATGGGAAGCACAGGTGGGAGCATCACAGTCTGGGGCCCGCTGAAGGCAAAAGCTCAAGACCCTATCCAAACAACAGCAAAAGCAAAAAGGGCTGGAGTGTGGCTCAAGAGGCAGCACACCTGCCTAGCAAGTGTGAAGCCCAGTGCACCCCACCCCCAAAGCAAAGGGAGCAGCCAGGGTGGAGTGACAGACTTTTTCTAGACAGAACCAACAAGTAAATGTTTTTGGCTTTATGGGACATGTGGTTGGTGTGTGTTGAAACTGCTCAGAAGTAGCCTCAGGTGAAATGCCAGTGAGTGTTGTGGCTTTGTACCCATAAAATTTTATTTGTATAAACTGAAATGTGGATTTCCTCTCACGTGCATATGTCACAAAATAATATTCAATTGATTTTTTTCCAAATTTAATGTAAGCTTTGAGCTGGGCATGGTGGTAAATGCCTGTAACCCCAGCACTTGGGAAGCAGTGCAGGAGGTTCATGAGCTCAAGGCCAGCCTGGACTACCTGCATAGTGAGACCTTGTCTCATTAGAAAAAGAAAAAGGAAGGAAGGAAGGAAGGAAGGAAGGAAGGAAGGAAGGAAGGAAGGAGAAAGAAAGAAAGAAGGAAGAAAGAAAGAAAGAGAGAAAGAGGAAAGGAAAAGAAAGAGCATGGCTTTGATGTTGGGATGTAAATGAAAGACAAAATCTGTAACAAAAAATTTAAATGTTTTCACATTGATTTCATCATTACCTGCTTATATGAGTCATGACTCACATATGGAAAGACTACACAGAAGATAATCTTTTGTGTCTGGGTTCTCATTGCTTGGTTTGCAAGGAGCTGAGTTGGAATGGGGTGGCTGAGGCCAGCCACTCATGGTCAAGGTTGAAGAAGAAAGCACACAAGGATTCAGTTCAAGGGTAGGAGTCTTCATGGAGAAGGGCACTTAAGAGTTGGGTTTTGACCCCTTGTTCCTTCCTATTATTGCTTATACTCTCTCTACAAAAAAATTAGAGATAAGGGCAAAATAGTTTCTGCTGGGTATTGGGGGGGGGAGCGGGAGGGGGTGGGGGCAGGGGGGAGAAATGAACCAAGCCTTGTATGCACATATGAATAATAAAAGAAAAATGAAAAAAAAAAAAGAGTTGGGTTTTGAAAGATAAATAGGAGTTCACCAGGTGGAGTAGAAATCCCAGAAAGGAGTGCAAACAAGGGGGAAAGGAAGTATGAAGTCCTGGAAGGAAAGGAGAAGCTGGAGGAAATGGGGAAGGAGAGTTTTGTTTCTGAGTAGAATGTGGGCAGAAATAAAGCCGACAAATTTTGCCTGCTGGGTTACAGTGTTTGAAATGTCTGCTTTGTTCATTGACGGATTCATTCATTCAACAAAAAGGCTACGTGCGCCAGGTGACCCTGGGCTCCCAGGCTGTGAGGGATCCAGGCCTAGAAGCTTACTTCTTCCTGGGTAGCTTGAGGCAGAGGGAAAAGCAAGTAGGAGCTGCCAGTGGGAACCATGGGGACTGGATGGTGAAGCCTCTGCTGAATAAGGAGGAGAAGTCAGCCATGTGTGGATCCCAAATCTCTCGGGATATTGGGGCAAAGAGAATCGCATATGCAAAGGCCCTGAGGTACGGAAACAGTCTGTGGGAAATCGCTGGTGGCTTGAAGTCAAGAGCTCGGACTGCATGTGGAAGAAGATCTGAAGAGACTGGAGAGCCTTCCCCGGGTCAAATCAGAAATGACAGACTCAGGAAGTGTGTTTATCCCGAAGGCACTGGGGAGCCATAGACATGTGAGCAGGGGAGAGTCATGGCATGCGATCAGCTGGGCATTTGTGGAGTGGGCTGGTAGAACCAGGAAGGGCCATGCAACAGGAACAGAGGCAAAGAGTGTGGAAGAACTTGACGGGGGCTTGAGGAGGTCAGAGGGGGACATGATGGGCCTTTCTACTTAGCCCCTGTTCCTGTTGCTCTGGTGGCCTCTTTCTGGGTTGCTGACCATTAAAGAGAGTTTCGAGTGGTAAAGGTGGAAGTTTCAAGGCTCCTCATCTCCTAGAGGGTGCTGGGATACTGAATATTCTGCATTGGGCGCTACCAATGTTTCACAGGCTCTGCATCTCTCTCCCTCTCTCTCCCTCCCTCTCTCTCTCTCTCTCTCTCTCTCTCTCTCTCTTGATACTGAGTTACAAGGGCTCAAGCAGTAGAGTGCCTGCCTAGCAAGTGCAAAGTGCTGAGTTCAAATCCCAGTACGGCCAGAAAAATGAAATCTCAGTTACAGACACAGGGATGGCATGGCCAGCTTGGGAACTGATGAGGGGGAGGCTCAGAGGTGGGAATGAGTTGCGGGGTAGGGGGGCATTAGGGAACTGAAGAGGGGAGCCGAGAGCAGGGAGAGCTGAAGGGTAGGGTGGGTACAGGACCCTCTCTTGAGCTCGCCCACTGCTGGCCTTCTGGGCTCCTTCCAGCCCTGATGCTTCCTTGAATGCTGTGTGACTCAAGAGAAAGCCAGCCCTCTCTGAGCCCCTGGCTGCATGCAACAGGCAGGCCCATGCTAGACCATTTGTGGACATGAGATCCAATCACGGCCCGCTCTTGTGATCACCGGTGTTCCTCCCTGGCCCAGCGGAGCAGTGGTGGCTCGGTATGTTTTGTTCAGGAAGAGAAGAGGCCACACATTGGATAGCTACTCCAGCCTCAACTTCCCTCTCACCCTCTTTCTCCTTTCTATTTGAACACAAATAGTGTATTAGTCGCA